GGAAAAAGATGAAAAAATATTTTTATCTCAAATATTACAAGAAGATAATTTAACACGATTAAAAAACTTCTCAAAATATTTTCATCCCAAACACTATTTCGCCCAAGAAGATTGTATTAAATCCAAGAAGATTCATCCAGAGTCTTGAATTCAAGTAAAGTTAAAATTCAATAAGGTCGATTTTCACGCGCGGCGAACAGGTCTAATTAAACCGTCAACGAAGAAAGGGTTAAAATTCGTCCCATTTTATTCACGACCCGCCAGTTTGCTACCTTGCCGAACGGAGACGTAATTCTTTTAATTACCGGTTAGCTTAAAATACAGCCCCTCTTAAAGGGCGTGAGAAACGAAGGGACGTTGGCTGGTTACGCGACGACCACGACAACAGGGATAGGGAAAGAGCACTTTCGCGAGGCTTCAAATTAAAACGCGTAATTAAACGCCAGGCGAATTTCGTTTCGAAATTAGTTTACGATTACCTTTCAACGTCTCCCTCCTCCGTCTTATCCCCCCTTTTTACCAGTCGAATTTTCGAAATTGATTTTTTTCTTTGTCAAGCTACGTGGTAATAATCCAATTTTAATTTTGAGAAAGAAACGGTTTGAGCTTTTGATCAAATAATGTAGGTACGTGAAGTCTTAATTAAGAACCTTAGGCAACACAGTTATTTTTTCCTCTGGTAAATAATTGGCTTGATTTATAAGGATGAAGAGGAGGAGTTTTTATATAATATTTATCGTGAATATTTAAAATTGTATCGAAATGATATAAAATAAAAAGTAAAATAAAGAATTTTTTTAAAATTTACTTCTGCTGTTTTATCTATTAATGTTATAATTAGAAACTATTAAAATTAACTTATTATATTTATATCAATAAGCTTTGATTCTGAATTAATTTATATATAGTATACATTAATTATTAAATATCCTAGATTATAATGTTATAGGATACATGACCCAATTATAGTATCTTCTCTTTGTCACCGAATAATCAATTAATTTGCTAAAAATTAGAAAATAAAATATACGAAGCGATTAAATTATTATACTTTTAAGATAGAGAAAGTTTAAATTTTTGTTTATATACTTTTCTTTAAAATATTAATTAGAAAATATTTTTTTGGAAATTTAATTTCGCAACACAGTGATAAATTACCTTTTTTCCATAACAAAAACTATTAAGAAATAGCGATTAATCAACTTTGATTGAAATAAAAATTTCATCGCCTTAAAAATGATAATGAATATAAAAAAAATCTATAAAAATCAATATCCCATACTTTACTTAAATACTAATGCCAATAATTAATTAAAAGAACTTTGAACTCGTCTATAAATGGATCATTATAATTATTCCAATCTAAATAACGATGCATATGATAATTAATAAATCTATCTTGGAGATTTAACGTTGACACAAAAATCCAAAAGCCTTTCCATTGCAAAAACGAATATCGATTGATTATTAATTAATATAATGCTCGTTTTTCCCGCCGCCATTTTATTATTTTTAATATCTCTCCTTCTTTGTTTTCTATATCGTTCGATAATCGACGATAATCGAATAAAAACGAGCCGTTATATATACCAATCCATAACATTTATTTTATTTTCGGATAAATTCTAAAATATCCCGACAAAATGTAACGAAACAAATTTCCGTTGCAGAATGTCAAAAGGCAGCACAGATTCCGGTTGGCTATGGCTCGCTTAGTGAAGCCTAAGATCCCACCGTCCGAGCCGCCCCTCATCTCTCCATGGCAGCCACGGTAAGTAAATTGACGCTAAAACAATGTTATAACCATAGACGCTTCGTTGCTCCTTATGCAATGCTATGCCAACACCCTGCCCCTCGACAAGTTTCCGTCTTGATCTTAATAAGTGGACGACAGTGAAATTAGTTTCGTTAGCATGGAGCCTCGCGTGTCCTACGTGGATCTCATCCGTTTTCGGTTAACGGCCATTCCTTTGCCCGCGTTCACCCTCGTCAACCATTTTCTCCTCTCGGATTTTCGTATCAAAGTTATCACTTTGTTCACGAATATACCGCATCGTGACTTGTTTTTCACGTTGGTCGCAGAGAAGGATGATTGCTTGCGCAGATTTTCTTCGATAACGAGTTTATATCATATTAGATTAGATTTGTATATAATAAATGTTTATGGGTAGCGGATAAACGGTATGGGTGTGGTGTAATTATAAAATGGGGATGTAATTTATCTATTTCGCGTGCAATATCTATATCTGTCTGTCTAAATTTGTTAAGGCTTGGCTTAACTCGTTCGGTATGCAGCGATTGATTTATTTAAAGATGTTTCATTTCCTAATACGTTGCTTCGTATTTAAAATAGATTAAATTAGATCGAATTCATTCTTGTTGATTTTTAATTTCTCAGTGTTTAATTTATAGTTTCTAATTAAGATACAAGTCAATTGAACAATTAGAGAAACAATTATTCGTGTATCTATCATCAATTTCGTAACAAAATATTTCCTCGATTTTGTACAAATCGTATACATTTTTCATGATAGAATGTATCGCGACGTTTCATTTTAATGATTCAATTGATTTTATTAATTATTAATAAAATTTATAAGAGAATATATTTAATCATATCCGCCTTTCAATTGATAATATCATGGTTTTGATTTGAATCAAAATACGTCATCATTGATCTTTTCCTATTCGATTTCGAGCATTGTCGCTTATCCCTCTGGAGAATGATCCTTCTCGAGTCTCATCGGTCACTTCGAGGCGTTCGAGGAAAGGCTTGTTTGTAAGCATGCACGAGCACTAACCGACAGACAGAGATAGTGGTACTTTGCTCTCTCTTCATGGATGGACAGAGTCCAGAGTTTCAGACCGCCCCTTCCGGATATTCGTTCCTCGTATATCTCCACCCAGCCAGACGGCCACTCTGGATCAAACAGTCGTTGAGAACTACGTACACGCATAGATGCACGTTATCATTTAGTAAAAAGTGGAATTCATTTTAATGAAACGATAAAATGATTTTTTTTTATAAGAAAGTGATATTAAAACTCATTGCATCATCGATTATACGAATCCATATTGTCAGGAATCATTGTTTGTTCATCAAATAATGTATTTTAGAAATAGTTTTATTGCGTTGGTCTCAATAAATTCGTAATATAAAACTAAAAATATTATCTATAATTAATAGTATAATAAAAATAAGGATCAAAAAAATAGAAAGATATGTTAAAATTTTCAATATTAAATGGAAAATATGTTATAAAAAAGGAAATTTCGAAAACTAATTTTACAATTTTAATTTTATAGTAAGTATATTTTTTACATACGAAGACAAAAAGTTTAAGAAAGAATAAAGAATTAAAAAGAAATTAAAGATTTTTTCATTATTAAAAAATATTATATTATATTATTCACCATTTTTCTAAAAAAAATGAATACTATCAAAATAATTTTTCAAAATTAAAAAAACGAGACTTTTATGAATTAAAAAAAATAATTTATTCATCTGAACCATGATATAATCGAAAAATCCCTATAATCGAATACACACCTATATCTAAAATCAAATATATTTTCCAACAAATAACGAATATATTACGATAATATTAAATTAGACGAAAATATTTTAATAAAAAGTATCACGAAATGGATCTTTACTCAATGCCCGCTTCGTATTAATATTACACATTAATTTATCCATGCCTAGTCTCATCTTTCGTTGATCTCCTTCACTTCTTTCTTCGTTCTTCCACGTCTGAAGTATAACGTCTCGAATCGGAGAATACAATGCTGCACGGTGGTCAAAGAGTGAACATTATCCGCGAGAGAGCTAATTGGACGGCTAAAGTCCGTCACGAGTATCCATTTTGATCGTTGGCGGTCAACGCCACCCGACTTACCCCTTTGCTGGCTCTCGCACACGTTCCATCGATGTATTGGCCGACCGTTTATCGCTGGTCGATAACACGCAACACGCACCTGCGCCACGATTCTCTCTGAGACGAGGTCGCTGTCGTTCGTGTCGTTCTCTCATGACATTAAGGACTCGTTAAGGGGAGGGGTGGTGGAAGGAACGCGTAAGGAACGTCGAAGGGGAAAGAGACTATGGTTGGGGCTGTTTGCTAATAAGTGGTTGACACTGCACTTTTGGATGACTTTTCTGGGAGGTGCAGGTGGTTGTTGTTGTTTTCCACGGTGGTTGATGTGTACGGGCTCCTTGAGCGTGTACTTGTGCGTATCTCTGATTAGTTGGGGATTGTTTTGTGACTGGTTGCCGAGTTATACCGTGATTGGAGTTCCCTAGTTAAATATGAAGGGGAAAATTAGTTCGTGGGGGAGGGGTGGGGGGTATCAAGGTCTGGTTGGAAATCGACTTAAGCTCGGGCGCGAGATCTAGATTCTGCTGGGATTTGGCGGAATCTCTTCCTCGTGTCTGATCGGTTTAACCTATTTTCCTCGAGTTTACAGCGTGTTTAAAATTGATCGATGAGAAAGGAAATAAGAACATTCGGGACATTATTATTGGATATTAATTACAACGTGTTTTAATCGTAAATTTGATTGGTGGAATATAGATGTATATGTTGTGGAATATTAAACGTATGAGTATGAGTTATATAGATAAAGTAGTAGTGTAAATTAGTATAAGTCAGGCGCGCTTAATTCGTTACTTTTACGGGGATACGATTTTGTTTGTTCGTACTACTTTTTATACTTATATTTAAAAAATTTAGATTGTTTCTTGAAAATATAGTTTTTTTATTGTATTCTTTAAAATTAAATTTAAAAAACACGAAGGCGAAACGAAACGAAATCGTATAGAACTTTTTAATAATCAATTTTTTCAAAGTTTAAATTTCCTTCTTGAAAATCTATCATATAAAATGAATGCATAAATATTTACTTTAAATAGCTCCATAGCTTCAAAGTAATTGCAATTAAAAATAATGAATAACGAATGACTTACAATTTTATAAATAATATCGTGTAATATAAAATTGTTTACAAATGGATATGTATAAGAAATAAATTGTATTTTCAAATAACGATAAAACTTTCTATAGAATTCTTAGAAACAAAAATTGGATGGATAATAATAAAATAATAAACTTTCATATTAATCTTTAACGAATTTTTCAAATTTGAAGTACAAATTTCCATAGAATAATAATGAAATCAACTCTGAAATCCAAATTTTTATCAGCTCAACGATGCAGCAAAAGATCATGAAGCTTTTCACCCATATTTATTATCCCTAATAACTATATTTAACAACTGAACGAAAACAGTGGGAATTCAAGATTTTTGTTGGAAAAAAATAAATTCGACGAGATGGCCAACGCTTAGGCCAACGATTGCCACGAAAGATACAAAAGCAAGTCAAGTTAAGTGAAGGTGACGAAAATGAAGGAAGCCGAATCCATATCTTCCATCGTCTTTCCTGTTCACGCGGGGTAACGCCTGTCTCGTCGGAGACGTGCTTCCAATTGCAAGGTAAACCAAACCTGACGTTTCCATGCCGCTGCTTTTCATTAAGAAGCCAAACTGCAACCACACGTAACAGACTAGCCGCGTTTAACATTCAGCTCCGCTCCTGTTCGCAAACCGCCTCCCTAAGCGGCAGCTTTTCACCCTTCTATCAACCTTCTGCCATCCATAATAAAATATTACGCACGTCGATTATAAGCGTAATTGCCGCCCCAAGTGTGTGGGAACATGTTCCATCAATTTCTCGATCGATCACGTTGCACGATGGTAATTAGTAATTTGTATTTTTACCGATAGGGGAGAGTAGAGTATTCAGAAAATTGCTTTATAACGGTATGGCAACAAAATAACATATGTATATAACGTTGTATGTTATTTAAAATGTGGTTCGATATTTTGGGATAAAATTAATATTCTAGTTTGTAAATGCATTATATAATTTCATTGATAATTTGAATTTTATCGTTTTAAAGAATTTTCATATGTATTTCAAGTAAAATATTAAATTTAATAAATAATTTAACGAGAATGTGCATGTGTTCATTTTGAATTATTAAATTATTAAAGTTCGTTGTTTAATTTTATTGGTAAAATAAATTTTATTGTTTCGAATTATATAATGTGATATTCGAAGGTAGCAGTTTTTGATATGAATAATTATCCGGTAAATACACAATTAAGAAGAGAATATTCGAAATAAATAAACATAGATCTTGTGTTGTCAAATTTAATCATTGAAATTTGTAATTCTTATCTCATGTAAATTTTATTATAATTTTATTTCTACATAATTATCGATTATTTTATTGCTTGATAAAGTCAAAAGTATTTATTTTTCATTATTATTCACGTTAAAATTCGCAATTTATTTCATTTCTTTCTTTTTCACTCCTCTGGATATTTCTTCAATTTTCAGTTTTATTATTTTTATTAAAATATTTTTCTTTCCTGAATGCAGTTTCATATAATGGTCGAACGATGCTGTAATGTAATAATAAATTTTTCCTTTTTAAACGAGTTATTAATTACATAATTTTTCCGTCTAATCAAGATAAGCGGCGAAGCAACATTGTAGTTTTTTTCTTTACTATCTTTTTTTATTACTAAGACAAGGATCAAAGAATCCTCGATCCTTTTCTCTTGCTTAATTTCACAGCATCTGAACGTTATATGCATCAAAGTGAATCAATTAATTAAGACATGTATTCATTCCTTTCATGAATCTTGTAATTATTGCTTGCAACATCTATTCATTTTATCTATATCATTTTATCAATTTACCAC